CAACAGAGAATTCCTTCACGGAAGGAAGAGTCAATCAATGCGGAAGACTTCATTGTTGTCTTATTTTAAGAAGTTGCCACAGGCACCCCAACCTTCAGCAAGAACCACCCTGATCAGTCAGCAGCCATCGACACTGAGGCAAGACCCTCCACCAGCAAAAAGATTGTGACTTGCTGAAGGCTCAGATGATGGTTAGCATTTTTTTAGCAACGAGGTATTTTTTAATTAAGATGTGTACACTGTTTTTTTAGACATAATGCTATTGAATACTTAATAGGCTACAGTATAGTGTAAACATAACTTTTATATACACTGGGAAACCAAAAAATTTGTGTGACTCATTTATTGCAATATTTGCTTTATTGTGGTGCTCTGGAACCAAACCTGCAATATCTCTGAGGTACGCCCGTGTGAACTTGAGACATTTTCCGTGTCAGCATTCAAGCCTCAAACAATGCAGGGAGATGGGGCTAGGTCACGTGCATAGGGCCTGAGGGCAGGGTGGCTGGTTTATGTGAGGTTTGTAGAGGGCTGTGTCTCTTAACAAAATTCTCCACTTTTCGATTCGAGCCCTTCTTTCCAGGCTTGTCTCTCAGGACTTTTCTTCCTTTACCAACCCAAGACTTCAGACACAAGGATCCCGTGTTGGTGTCCACGTACCTTTCCTTTTTTGGGTCCTATTTGTTATGTACATTATTCCCTTCACTTCTGTCCCTGCCTATTGTATTCTCTTCATCTTTCAACAATTCACTTACAATCATATTTCGTCAAGAAGCTTTTTTCAATCCTCCCAGTTACGGTGGATTTCTCCCATCCCCGTGACCCATGACAATTTTATTGTAATAGCTATGTTAATTTGACTGATACTGCACTGAACTATTTATGTGATTTTCTCACATCTGTTGTAAGCTCCATGAAGGCAGCCACCACAATCTGGTCATTTTTGAATCCCCTCTTCCCATCCATTCCCGACCTGCTGTAGCTCAAGTACTAATGATGGATGGATTCTGACATATACAGGCTCAGCCAAAGTTTCTTGAGTAAAATTAAGCCTAAGGGCCTTTGATTTCTTTGATGCATATGTTATTTGAGGTAAGGTAATGAATAGAACCAGTGTGAATGCTGACACAGGGCATTTTACCTCTGCGGTCTGACTTCAGCAGCGTCTGTTCTCCAAGAGCCTTTTAGGACTGGTCAGGGAGACAAGGGAACTACAATGCTAATCAGGAAACAAAGGAGATGCCTCTAAGAGGCCCGAACCCCTCCCACATGATGAGGGACAGAGAAAAGCCAGGATAGGTCATTCCCTTTAGCTCCCCAGCTCTGTGCTTATAGCCACGGTGGACATGGGGCTCCTCATGTGCCCCTTCCCGGGACCGTGGGAGCTCAGTCATTTGGCATGAGTAAGCCTAGTTGGGATGGCTCCTATTCAGCAAATAATCTTTCTGCAACAGATGAACAGGGTGCAGTGAAGTAATAGTTAACAGAAAAGGGAACCTCAAAGAGGACTAGAGAGGAGGCAGGAAGGAATGAGCTCAGAGGGGACAGAGAATGAGCTCAGTCCTCAAGAATGAATCTGACTCAGTATTGGCAGAAAGCTGAAGTATTCCAGGATCTTGAGCAAAGTTTGCAGGACAGTGAGCCTTGTGTGTGGACCAGTGAGGGAACTGGATGATAGGAGCTGTTCTGTGGTGGAAAAGTCAGAAAAATAGCACTGGGAGTCAAGGCCCCTTGGCCTGGAAGCATTAGTGCTTGATGCTAATTGCATCTGCGTTGCCGTCACGTGCTAAGAGGACCTCGGTCTTTGAATGAGCTTGACATTGTGGCCTGAACACGGGTTGACAGCTAGAAATAGTTATGAGTGTACACGCCCTTATTACTATGGCCCCACAACACCAGTATCCTCCAAGGGGAATGTCTTAGTCTGTTCGGGCTGCTATAACAAAACACCACAAATTGGATGGCTTATAAATGAAAGAAATTTATTTTTCACAGTTCTGGAGGTTGGAACTCCAAGATCAGGATGCCACATGGTCAGGTGAGGGCCCTCTTCTGGCCTCAGACTTCTCTTTGCATCCTCATGGGATGAAGGAGCTGGGATCTTTGTGGGGGTCCCTTGTATAAGGCACTAAGCCCATTCATGAGGGCTCCACTTTCCTGAATCAGACATTCCCAAAGGCCCTACCTCCCGGCACCATCACCTTTGAGTGTTAGGATTTTAGCATAAGAATTTTGTGGGGACAGAAACATTCATATGATTGCAGGGCAGGCCATCGCTGCTATAGAATCTTCAGCAATTTGATCCTGAATGTAATGGGCATCTTACTTGGAGAAAAGAATCACAAATTATTTTCTACCCTGAACTTTTCTAGATAGGTTTTAGAAGTAAGCAGAATCTAAATGCTTCCATCGGTAGCACTCTACCTTTCTCACAAGAATATGGCTCAAGGGATCACTATTTAAAGAGGCCTTCTAGTGTAATTATGGGAGTATATGCCTGACTAAGCCCTTTCTTTGCTCTTTGGCAAGGTGTTCAGTTAACATTGTTTGAGTTCAGCTCAGCCATGGAATCATCTAACTGTAGTTCCGACCCTGGAGAGGCAGAGCCGTAGAGGGGCTGCCTTCTCCATATCCTGCAAGGATTGCAAACATCCAGTAAGTCAACTTCTACACAATGCTTGGGGATCCGAAGGGGCTATTTGGGCTATCAATGTGCCAGGAAGAATCCTTAGTTGTTCATTACTAGTGTGGTGGCTCAAAGGACACCCCATATTCTATCTTGATACCTTATTAAAAGTTGGAAAATCTCTATCAGGGTGAGAAAGACAACTTTCGCTTGTTCAGCGTGTGATTTTTAAAAGCCTTAGAGATTCATTCCTAACAAAGTTCTATTCAAAAGAGTCAAAGGCACTCACCACTCACCCACACACGCAGGGAAAGCAGGAGACAGAATAGAGAAGAAATTAGAGCCTCCGGGTGAAAGGAGGAATTTTTGTCTGCTGGCAGGAAGGAGCCCCTCGCACACTGCTGGGGTGATGTCAAGAGAGAGCCACTGCGACCCGTCTCTCTACACCCACTCAGTGGGGAGGAGTAAGATGCACCCTGGATTTTTCAAACATTCGGGTTCTTAAAAACTTAATTCGAAGCACTTATCATAATTTATATGGGATAATCATGGTTGCTAATTGTTTGCCATCCAAAACCAAAAAATATAAAGGCGTTGAATAAGCAGGCAATTATACAGAAGGCCACCTGTCTTCAAACATCCATCCTGGTTTCGACTCGTGGGACAGACAAGATGTTCAGGTCAGGCCAATGACATTGATATCTAGGCATTTCCCGACTAACAGAGTGGGGTCCTGGAAACTGGTCCCTGAAATCATTGGCCTTGTTTTTTACACTCTCCACATTGCTGGTGACCTCTTGGGAAACTACCACTCCTGGCAAGCCGAGGCAACTGCCCAAGACAGCCCCTCCCACCTGATCAACACTTCACCAATCTACATTTTGTTCCAGTTTCATTTCCAGTAAACTCAACCCTTGACTCTAGACTCCTGACCTCGATCCTTTCTCTGTCCCCCTGGAGCTGGTATTTGGACTTTGGCTTTTCTTTCTGCGTACTTTCGCATAGCTAGCCCTTCAACACGCAGCATCCCTTGCTCCCTGGAAAGGCAGAGGATTCCCTTCTTTGACTCTGACTCTACAGAAAATAACGTTTCAGAAAAAACCTTCCCAACCTCAGCCCTCCTGAGGGGAGAGGGTCAACAACTATGTATATATCAGGGTGACAGAAGCAGGTGTATATCTCCTTTCTCCCTTCTCTCTCTTCCTCATCCCTCCCTTGTAACGCACTGCTAGACTAATAAGGAAATCGACAGTGAGACCACAGATATTAAGACCAGCCAAACAGGTGGTCCTGCCTTTACTTTGGCAATGAAAGCCCCTGAGATACCCCGAGATGGTTCATTTCCTTTACACTGCTATTGCATCCCACCAAAAGGAAAAGAGAACACGGATTTTGTCAAGCTTTCCCTACCAATTTACCTTTATGCTGAGGAGAAATTTCATCCCAAAGGGTAATTTATTCAAAAAACTGCAAATGTCTGGGAAGGGGGACTTCTAATGAAAGCACCTTTTAAACTATAACCATATCGTGTCCTGACATTTATAAAGAAGCCTGGAGCCGGAAATAGATTCTTCAGGAGCATGGGATGTGTCTAAACAGCTAGATTAAGTCTATTCTGCTTAAGTTCTGGGCCTCTCCTTGGCAGAGTCTGGGGGTTTCCATGTGGGTATAATTCAGTGCGTTTCTGGACTTGCCTTTGGTTTGCCTGTGGGGCTCCCTTGAGTGGTGCAGCAATGGGCAAGCTGAGACCACATACACATGTGTGTCCTTTCACAGGCAACACAGAAAAGGAAATAACTGGCTCCATTTCTAAGCAAGACAGAAAGCTAACCTTTCACTATCTGTTTTATTCTCCCTTAAAATTCTATTGATTTGGTCTTTCACTTTGCGATTAGGAGAGAATTTAGTTAGCAGCCTAGATGTGCTGCTCTTATATGTATCATTGTTCTTGAATCCACCTTGAAATCCTTGGGTAGAGAGTTGGAACATTTTGGAGAATTCACTAAAAGAAGACAAAAATTTTTATGGCTTGAAGAAACCACAAAGGGTCACAAAGGAAGGTTGTAGGCCCTTCCTTATTCAGCAGGGAACTCTTTAGACAGTTTCGGTGGGGGAGGGCAGGGAGACTTGTGAAGTGGGTGTGAAAAAAATCATTATATAATTCTCCTTAAAAATTGTAGTTTTCCAAGTATCTTCTAAAGAAAACACAACATTGTAAGAAATCATTTAATGTCAGTTGGAGCCACTAGGGTAGAGAATAATCTTTTGAGACTCAAGTGTCCCACGCAAATAATTTGAAACAAACTGAGATTTAGAGGCCAAAAAGAAGGGTGGGTGGTAAGATGGTTAGATGGCACCCAGGGAGGTGTTTTTCTTGTTGAGAAGCAGCCGCACAGGCTTTCACGCTGATGCAGGAGAGCGGCCTCCTCATCTAGGAGAATGTATGGGATGAGCTGCGGAAGAGATGGAGGGGAGAGACAGATCAATTGTACTTCTCTTGGCAGAAAGGAGGCTGTGCATGGAGAGAAATTACACAGATTAGATTAGAGATTAGATTAGATTAGAGAGAGGCTATCATTCATGCAAAGATGGTACCCATTTTGGAAGGCGAGATGACAACAGAAGTGCCTCCAAGGGCCAAGCCAGCTATGGAAATGGCGGCAGAGCTGCCCAACTGGAGGGCGCAAGCCCAGCCTGCAGGGGGCAGGACTGCTCGGTCCCAGCCGGCCATCACCATCTGCAAACGCAGGCCTGAGCAGCCAGATCTTCTGACATTTCAAGAAAAGCCAGAAAACTGGAGTTGGATTTGAAATCTCACCTACTTTAAAAGGTCGGCAACGCACCTAAAACCTTTTTAAAACGTTGTTCTGAGGACTTCTCTGACGTTGACACTTTGCAGTCACATATAAAAGACTTTCATTAAAGCAAAGGAAGAAGGGAACCGTGTTTTTAGCACAAAAGACAGAAGGAAATTGCAAATTGCAAGTCACTGGCAAGGGTTTTTATGAGAAAACTTCTCTACAGCCTCAATGTTGCAGCCAAACACTGAAAGATTTCTAACCTCAAGTCTGGAAGTTAAAACCAGAGTGATATTAAATAGTGATTAATAACAGTTGAAGCTGAATACAAAATCACTTCTACACAGCAGGAGGTTAACTGTTTATGCTGTTTGTGAATCAGAAGTTATCCTCTGGTAGAAAATTCATGAATGACTGAATTACATATTTTATGTCCGGTCTCTCTGTGATTCGCAGTTTAACCATTTGGTCCACATTATCGTAAATGAGGTACCACTGCTCACCTGGGAGCAGCTATTGAAATCTTGGACAGAATGTCTAGAAAGAAATAACAAGCCCTTTTAGAGCAAGCCTCGGAACCTCCAACTTATAAATTGATGGGAATTTTCAGTGCGATTGGAGGTTTTTTCCACCCTCTATTGAGTGTGAATATTGCTTCATCTCACAGCAATCCTGCTCAAGGTAGTAACATTTATTAACCTCTCTAGCTTTGCAACCTATAATGAGGTACCTGGTAGAGTTAAATATGGGAGAAACTCCTTCTGTTACATCCTTGTGGTGGATCAGATTATCATCCAGAAATATTCATTCCCGCCCCACCTTCGCCGTCATGAGCAGAGTATTCTTCCCTGACTTTTGACTCTGGGCTTTGCTTTAGTCAATATAATGTTAGGTGACATGATGTGATCAAAGGCTTGGAAAGCCCCTGTGTGCTTGGCTGGTTCTCTCCATCTGCAATCTCCATGAGAGGTGCTTTCTCTCAGTAACTACTGCCTCTTCAGTCCCAAATGAACACATATGGAGCAGAGCCACCCCAGCCAGACCCGACTAGGTCCACAGTTGAAACAATACACTCAACCGAGCCCAGCGTAGATGAGCTGCCCCAGCCAACTCACAGATCCAGGAGAATAAATAAATGTTCTTTTAAGAAACTGAGTTTGGGGAAGGTTTTGTTATTCAGCATTATTTCTAGCACTAGCTAATTGATATAATCCTTTTCATAGTGAATTAGGCTTTTTGCCTTTTAATTGATCCCTACACTTGGTTTATTTAGCTGGAGTGTAGGCATTCCACTCAAGATGTGGGGAGAACTGGACGATATTGAGAGGGTCTAGGTTAAACAATGGGTCTGCTTTCAGGCAGGATACTGAGGGTCCACCTGCCACCATCAATTAAAGGTCAGCTTAAGTAGAACCTGGGTATCGTCCTCTTCTTAACCCTCTATTCCATCTCTCCTGTCCACCATCCAACCATTCACTATCTATCCTGTTCATTGTACTTCTTGCTTATGTCTCAAGTCTTTCCAAAGCTCTTCGATCTCATTGCCAGCAATCCTTGGCCAGTTCATCATCTCTTGCTTGGATTAGTACAAACAGCCTCCACTTTGCCTCCTTCCGTTCTGTGTTGCTTCCTCTCTCCCCACCAGCTTTAAAACACTTCCATGACTTCCCATTTTCTTTAGGCTAATGCCAGCTTCCTAATTACAGCTTCCAAGGACCTTTAGGATCTGGTTCCTGCTTACCTTGCTAGCGTCTCTTACCACCTGCCCCCTAATATACCCCAACCCTCACATCTCACCCTCTAACCTTCAGTCCCATCGAGCTTCCTTCTGCCCCTTGACAGTGCCACGATCTCTTTGGGCCTTCACGCTTCCCCTCTCATGACACCCTTCTCTCTTTCTGTCATTTCAATTCTCACATTCACAGTGGGTTTATGAGACAGTCTGAGCTCAGAAAAGTGAAAACTTAACAGATTTTTCCCCTATCGCTTCCCCAATTAAGATAAACCAAATTTCCCTTTTCTACTCCATATTGAAAAATTGGGCAGATTTCATAACTACTTAACAAAATACTGTTATCAAAAACTTTATCCAGTTTAAACCACCAATCCCCAATCTAACTTCAGTTCCCTTCCTCTTGGCGACAGCAGGCTTTCAGCATGAAGGTCTTGGAGTGAGGGGAGGCCTGAGCTCTTAGTTTGGAACGGAGGAGGTGGGGGCATTGGCTGACTCTGGGACACCTTTCCTCTCCTTCTGGGGTTTCCAGAGTATTGGGCTGGAGACAATGGAGAGAAGGAAAGGGACAAGTGTCTCATACATAGATGGCATTACAGCCAATGCCCTCAGTATAGCAGACATCCAAATGCTGATTATTTTGGGGGTATATAGTGCAAATTTATTGGAGGCTCCTGTAGAGGAGACATCTATCATGTATTTCCTTGATGGGATTGACCTCTAGACCCCTCTTCTAAGTCCTCCAATTCACATCCCCCCAGCAGAATACCCCCATTGCTTTTGGGATAGCTGATTGGGCTCTTGTTACCAGTGGACTGCCCTCCTGGATGCGGCACGCATGATTTTAGCCAAATATGTAAATAACTCTACTGAAGTTGTGCATAAAAGAAAACTAGGCAATATTTTTTTCTAAAAATTAAGCAATATATTTTGCTAAAAAAAATGGTTTGCTGGTAAATTTTGTTTCCTGTCTACTGGCTGAACATGGCAATAATCAAATGATTAGGAAGACATTTGCCCTGCTAGTGTTAAAAAAAAGAAGCAATTCTAGAATAATTTGATTATTTGTTTCTGTCCTGCCCACAGTGTTTAAGTTTTCCTGGTTTCAGTGAAGGAGGGTGAGCATTTTGGATTGTTTGTCCTGTTAGCAACCATTCTGTAGAAGACCTGGAGTAGACGGGTCCTGAGTCCCTGTGAGGCTAGGACAGGGTGTTCAATCAGCCCTACAACAAGGAGCCACCCAGGTAATGAGATCTCTGGCTGGGAAAATAATGTCTGGCCCTTCTGGCTCTTCACCTCTCAGATGCTGCCAGATGAAATGAGATACAGTGACTTTCTGGTGTTTGATTCCATGCACGACTGGAATTACACCACTACGGATTGCCAAAGCGTGAGGCCAGGTCCCTCCCCTGCAGATTGGAGATCAGGGGCATGTAAACCTGTAAGGAAGAGTGTGTCTGAACCCATCCATCTGCCAACCCACCCTCTCTTTTCTTCATTCTGCCAGGGCCACCCGCCTCCCATTTGCCCACACGCTAAGATGGGTCCCTATCCAAGCAGGTAGCACACTGGATGCTTCCCAGACCTAGGATAGTTTGTCTTTGTCTTTTGGTCTTTTTGGTCTTCTCAGAGAGGTAGACTCTGGGGTCAGACTTGCTCTGCCACTCACTACTTGAGCAATCTTGTTGAGCCTCAGTTTCCTCATCTGTAAAAGGGGATAATAACAGCACCCGTCTCTTAGTGTTGTGAAGATTAAATGAAGTAACACATGAAAGCACTTGGATTAGTGCCCGGCTCACAGAACACATTGTACACATGTTAGCTGTTGTTATTATTCCTGGTGCCTCCCAGGACTTAGTCACTTTCCTTGCTTGGCCCTGATCTGTTTTCTCCTGGCTCTTGGCCTCCAGTCTAGGTCTGACACCTGAATGTCAGATAAGCCTCCTATTGGCTGAATCCCACTGAAAGCCAGAGGGCACAGGAGCCCACCGGTGTGTCCATTTCCAGATGGAACTGAGACTTGTCCAAAGTCACATCACTAGTTGGTGGCAGAGTGGGGATGGGTCTGGGCTGACTCCTGTTGAGCTCTCGGCAGAGCTGCCTCAGTGGGGTTCATGAAGTCCAAAGTGGTCATGGCATCCATTTCCCTTTCTTTTTTAGAAAATAAACAAACGAAATTATTTAAATATACCTTGCCTTTAAAAATGAACTGTGTATTGCTGGTTGGAGTCTAAAGTTGTAGTCAGCAAATGAAGACAATTTAGCAACTATCAAAAGTCAAATGCATGAACCCTTTGAGCCAGCAATTCCCAGTTCTAGAAATTTATCCTACATGTATACCTGGAAACGTAAGAAATGATCGATGTATAAAGTTATTCATTGTGAGAGCATTGCTTGTAAGGCCAGAGATTGGAAACAACTTAAATGTCCACAAAAGGTAAGAGTTTAAATAAATTATAGTATATCTGTACAATCAAATGGAAGCATAGGCATTAAGGAGAACGAGGCATCTTTTTTTATACTGATATAGACTGATCTTCAAGATGTATTTTTTTTTTTTTTTGAGGAAGATTAGCTCTGAGCTAACTACTGCCAGTCCTCCTCTTTTTTGCTGAGGAAGCCTGGCCCTGAGCTGACATCGTGCCCATCTTCCTCTGCTTTATATGTGGGACACCTACCATAGCATGGCGTGCCAAGCGGTGCCATGTCCACACCCGGGATCTGAACTGGCGAACCCCGGGTCACGGAGAAGCAAAACGTGCGAACTTAACTGCTGCGCCACTGGGCCAGCCCCTCAAGATGTATTATTAAGTGAAATAAATAAATAACATATAATTCATACATATGTAAATATATAATATATATGTGTAAGTTATATAATACATACATATAAATTATATGTGCATAGTATATCCATGGCAGG